AAAGACTTCAATCTCACATAAGTTGCTAGACTCCTCCACCACCTGATTTCTCCATCCCCACCATCATAAATTAGTTTAGAATCTTAAGAGAAATCACAGAAAAAACAATAATTAACCTTGAAGCTCCCACTCCTCACACCACATCTTCCCCATGACCTCGCCTCCCTAACTCGTTCCACTCCTTCTCTGCCGTCTCTTCATTCCTCCGCCGCTTCAACGGCCTCTCAGTACTCTACCTCGCCCGTCACGTTAACCTCACTGTCTCTCCCATCCCTGGCCCTACCTCTTGTCTCTTTGACATCCTCGGAAACATCACAAAATCGTCTCTCTCTCACCATCTCCCATATGAACCCATATTAATCGGCAATATCCCTAAATGTTCCACTCAAGTCTCATATTCTCGATTTATATGATAAAAGGAGATTACCCACTTTACTATCCAAGCTTGTCGTCAAACTCCGATATTCGGCAAGATACCTGACATCATCGGCCCCTAATCTCACAAAAAGTACAAAAACTCATCTTATTAATTAGTATGCTTGGTTAGAGGGGAAAAATATATGTGTATTATTTTTATTAAGTAAATTATGTTATATAGTACCAATGGCATATAGTGTAATTTCTCTAGTAAATAAAGGGTTATTAAATATAGAATCTGAAAAGAGCTATGGTGATGAGTGATGACACCTCAGCTATAATAGCAAATTTGTTAGTAAATTATAAAATTGGTGGTATATAGGCGGAAAACTAGGCGCCGATAAATAATAGACTAATCTTCGATTTTTGCATTAAGCGCTAGGCCCTTATCATCCGCACGCGTAGCGCCTAGCGAGTTCCCGAACAAGGATTACCTACTTAAACCTTAAATATGAGTTTAAGAAAAAAAAATAGTTAGTTATTAATCTACATAATTTTTTTTAAGTCGATATATGATAAATATAAAATTAAAAAAGAAAATCTAAAATATTTCTATAATATCACTTTTAATTAATTTATCGTATAAATAAATAATTTGATTATAATTTAGAGATTTTTTTATCCAAAAGAAAAAATGGATAATAAATCAAGTAATAAGTTACGAGTAATAAGCCAACAACGCCAATACTTGGTACTTTTCTTGTACTTGCAAGTAATTGAAATAAACGACTTGATACTCGACTTGAACAATACGAGTACTCGACTTTAAGAGCCAAGTACGAATCAAATAGCAAGTACAAACCGAGTAGCAAGTAATTGTTCCCACTTCTAGTGTCTACATCGATGTATAGTCACGAAAAATTAGCGGTAGTCACCAAAATTTTCGTGTCTATACAACATTTTCTACTAGTAAATAAAATTATAGAAAAATATTAAAACAAAAAATATCAAATAATATAATATTATTTTTGGTGTAGTGTTTGGTATCATAGTTGAAGATGACTAAAAAATGTTTACACCAAAATATCAAATTTGATATCATGATTGGAGATGTGCTAGACGAGTGCTTTAAATTTTTCTTTACCAAGCACGGCTCGGTAAGGAGTAAACACGATGTTTCGTGAAGTTTGGCATTTATAATCATTAGTTGTGTATTTCATATTCCCTGCGTTTTAGTATAAATGTCACTTTGACATTTTCATAGAAATTAAAAACATTATATTATAGACTAATATATTTTTATTTAATACATAATTAATTAAATTAAAATAAATAAAATAAAAATCTATTGGTTATTCAAAAAGGTAAAATGAATTTAATATACAAAATTGTATTAGCATTGTAAAATTATACTTATTTTGAAACAAGAAAATCTCTATAATATTATTTGAGAAGTCAGTTTCCTATGTGTCGCTCTCACGTTCATTCTCACGATGGTTGATTACATTGATACCCTTAATGAATTAAAAATAGTTGAAAATAGTATTATAAATTCTTTTATTTTTAGTTTTTCCTTTTCAAAAATTTCCAAAAAGATATGTAATAAAAAGGCAATTTTTATAAAGTCATAAAAAACAAATTTAAAACGAAAATATATGTACATATAATATGATTTCATAAAAAAAGAAAGTTGACAAAATGATAATAATACATTTAAAAATATTTTTAAAGAACATAAAAAATATGTATATATAATAGTTTTTCATAAAAAAGGAAAGTTCACCAAATAGTAATAATACATTTAAAAATATTTTTAAATAACATAAAATATACTTTTAGAGTAATAAAATAGTTTATAATTAGTGTTATTGAATTTTTATTTATTTTTCATATATTTAGTTGACTATAATATCTTTCAATTACAGAAAATTATCTTGAACTAATATTTTACTTATATAATATTATTTTCAAATACAATCACAATTTTGTGTAGTGCTTATTTTTAAGAGATATTAAAACTAAAAATAAATTTAACAATAAACATCGTTTGGTCAAAATAATTGTTCTAATGAGCTAGATATATGATATTTTATCATTATTAAAATTATTTATTTTCTTAATATTAATTGTTTTAAATTTTATCTTTTATGTTTGTGAAACTAAATATAACCATAATCAAAATATCAAATCAAATCTGAATTCTCATTTAAGATTATTTAAAAAAAATTCAGTTTACATTCAATAAATCTAAAGCATAAATTTATTTATAATTTATAAATGCATGTAACCTTTAATTGATCATATGATCACTCAAAACATATGAACAAATAAAAATAAATACTAACCAACTCTTACAATTTTAGTTATTTTGTAAAATTTATATATATCCATGAGACTTTATAATATTTTCGTTATATTAATTTACGTATTTTGGAATCAGACACTTTAGTTAATTTTTAATTTATTGTAAGCACAATATATCTTAAGTTTTACATAATTTTCCTAAAATATACTTACATATCTAAGACAACACCCACCATATGCAAATAAGTAACTAACTAAAAATTAATATATTTTAAAAATATTACAGTTGAATTCAGAGATGCAATCCAATTTATCCAAATGATAACTAAACCAACCGTAAAACAACAAAATTGACTAGATATAACATATATAAAATTACAGTATAAGTAAAGTAATATAATTCTATTAATATAAATGATGCATACAAATTATAAATTAATTTAAAATTAAAAGTAAATAATAATCAATTATTAATATATATTTGATTTAAAAATATTTATACCCGTGCATGAGAACGGGAAAATCACCTAGTTACTTAAAATGACACGTTTTACAAGTTACGGGTATTGGTACTAGTTAAATTAAATAAACAAGTCTCATTTCTTCTACACAGGGTTCAGGATCAAAATATTATGAAAATTCCTTCCTAAACTCGTATTCGATAGTTAAAAATCCATTTGTGTGATTTCTAAACATTCATAATATTTTGACTCTGAAATTCATATTAGTAATTCTCAAATCCACTTATTTGGTTTGAAAATCATTAGATTTATCAAAGTTTCTAAATCTAAGGAGGATTTATAAATCCATTAAATTACTAGAACCAATAACCCCCACTTAAGAAACAGATGGAGTATGCATTACAATGTTTTATGATTGGTTGTGTTCGTGATTTTTTGAGACACGGAGTCTTTTGCTCAAGAATGTTTTGGTCTTTAATTTAAACTAGATTTGGACCCGTGCGTCCGCACGGGTGTAGTAAATTTTATACATATATATTTTTTGTACATACATATTGTTAAATTGTCGGAACGCACGGGTGTTTATTCTAAAATTTATACATATATATCTTTTGTACATCATATTATTAGATTGTTGGGACGCACGGGTATTTATTCTAAATTTTAGATATATTTTTTTTTGGTACATACATATTGTTAGATTGTCATGGATTATTATTTGTATTGAATGTTGTTTGTTTCTTATTATAAAATATTTTTAGATGGTGTTATTCATCATGTATTTTAAAAGAGTTGAAATCTAAACATAATCCACTGTTATTCAATTGATGATTCTAAATTCTATTTTAAAATTCAGTGTTATTCAATCTAAGATTGAATTTTGGTTTTTAAAATCTGGTGTTATTCAACTTTTAAGGATTTTAAAATTCTTTGTAATATAAATGGATTTCAAATCATCAGTGATGGATTCTAATGAATAAATGATTAAACTCAAAATCCAAGGGGTTTGCAGAGATTTTAGAATCCATCAACTTTAACAATTTTAAAATTTAAAAATCTGATAGATTGTAAATATTTAAAATTGATTCTAAATCACTAATTGAATAACACCCCCTAAGATTTGGTGAATATATAGTTCCATTCACTTTTAAATGTATTGTAAATACAAATATAGCTCACTTTGTTTAGACTTGGTGAATGAAGCAAGTTCACGTGAATTCGCTTAATGTGGTTCGTAGCGTTTCATTTTGAAGACTAATCAATTATTTGTTTAATGCGAATTGCTAGTTAATAAGTCATTATAAAATGATTTAGTTTAAATTATATTTTCTGAAATCCTACCATTAAATTGATTTTGGTATTGTTTATGGTAATATAGGTTATGCTCTGATTTCCATCTACCTGGTTAAGTATACGTTGCCTTTAACAATTGTGAATGAATTCGTAATCAACTCAAAGTGGTTTAGATTTCCAAATCAAAATAGACTATTAATTGTAACACAAACCGAAAACCATACATAGATAGATGTAAATAAAGTCAGGTTTTATGATTGTTTAAATAAAGAAAATGACAATTAATGCTGAAAATTAGGATTAATTAGTTTTCAATGGCATTCAATTGTAATTATTGTGGAAAATTTAGGGTTAATTTCAAATTGTACTTCACTTTTAATAGTTTAGATACATCATGGAGAAATGTCACGTTTCTCTAGGCTTCTTAAATTCACTTTGGGATTTTCTGTTGCTTGCTTCCCATACGCAACCCAAAAATATGACTCCCATGAAAAAAACTCCTCGGTCCTTGTGTAACCTCCGCAAGTTTTCCCTATTTATTTGTCGTCTGTAAACTCTTTTCCCGTAGACCTTAGCTTCAAGTTCATGGAGATGATTAAAATGGGGCCAATTGGCTCGAGAGATCACATTCTTAAAACCGAATGGGATGAGATGGGCCACAACATAATCTCACACATAATCATCTCGTATGACAAAAGTGGAGTAAGATCCATCCAGTTTGGTTACGTCGACAATGGAGCTCTGGTCATGTCAAAAATCTATGGAGCGTCACCACTTGGCTATAGCAGCCGAATCGTAAGTCTCATTATATTATTGGAACTTGTTGCTTTATGTATGTGCTATATATTCGTTTGATTACACAAGTATGTGCAGGTGAGGCTGAAGCATGAGTCAGAGTTTGTGACCGGGTTAAGCGGGGAGATATACAGTAATAATATTACCTCTCTAACCTTTCATACTAATCAAAGGAAACACGAAGCGGTTCACTTGACATTCGATTCAAGATTTTCAGCACCTCAGAAGATGGAGTTACATTCCGGGATACTTGAACGGAGTGAATTTGGAGGTTTCTGTTGAATCTGAGTTTTGTACGGTCGATTGACTAGAAAACTAAACTCGATTTGTGGGTTCTTCGAAGGCGTTTTATTAATCAGAGTTGATATCAAGAGGAGATTACAGAAAGATTCGAGAAAAGAACAAAGGTCGGAGCTTTATGAAAGTCCGACCAGATTACAAGGAGGTTCGATTGATCGTAAAACCCTAAACCTTNTCTCGTTCGCCCTAAAGGTCGTTTGAGAGGCCCGTGAGTCGGTTCCATGCTTGATGGGCTTTGGGCCTGCGATAATCGTAAAACCGGATTCAATTCGATGGTCGACCGGTTATTGAGGCAAACCGGTCGTTCGACCTTCGGGTTTATTTCCTATTTCGATCGAACTGTCAACAAGTGGGCTGAAGCCTGTTATTCGATGAGCCTTGTGGAGGAATGTTCAATTCCTCTCCAACAGTAAGTCCCCCCCGAATCCGTTTGCAGGCAATTCGATTTCCTGGAAGCGGGACGAAAGGAATTGGTTTTGAGAATGACGGGCTTAAGTGACTGCGTTCGCTTAATCTCCGCTTCGACCGGTCGTCTTTTGTTCTGTTTTCGAGCGAAAGATTCGCCATTTTGATGGGACAGTAACGGGTTTTGAAGCCCATTAGGTTAAATGGCCACTTTAACTCCTTATAAATACAATGTTCTCCTTTCTACCTTTTACTCTTCTTCCTTCCTCAGGTATCTTTTCTTTCTCCCTCACTTCTTTCTTCTTTTTTATTTTCACCCTTTTCCTATAACAGACTTTTGCTCGTCACCGGAATTATCTCGTCCCGATCTGCCGCCTTTGTTCTCGTTGCCGGAACCGGTGGTTACAGTCGGGTCGGCCGATCGATGAGTGCTCCCAAGAGGGCGATGACGGCGGCGGAGAAGGGGAAAGGAGTTCGATTTCCGATGCCGCCGTCCGATCTCAGGCTCCGAAATACGGTCGATGCTCTTCGCGGTACTCCGATTGATGAAGCCGGTCCGGATCTTGGTCGATCCGATGATGTCGGTGGTTTTGCTCGGGAGGATGGAAGCGAGCAGTGGTCGAACGGCGATGCGGGGATCTCCGAGTTTGAGCGTTCGGAGAAAAATACCTCGGGAGTGGGTGAGATCGGGCGATCACCGAACAGCGTTGATGGAGCCAATCGAGCTCCGACCGCGGTGGGTGATTCCGTGTCAGGAAATCGGGAAAGTGAAGGAGCATCGGGAGGTTCGGAGAGCGATGGTGAGGTAGGGGATGAGAGCGACGAATCCTCCGATAGAGTGGGTGATATCGAGCGGCCTCCGGATGACGCCGGGTTAGGAGGTGGAGGTCGATCGATTCCTTTTTATTACCACAGGGACGGAACATTCGAGCAGCTACCGGATATTCCGTTAGGTCAAGTTCGTCCATCCAAGATAAAGGGGCAGGATTGGGCCAATGTGTTACCTTCGTGGTGTACCGAAGAAGGGGTAGCTACGTTACTAAGGGCGCGCAGGGCGTATGGCGTTACGTTTATCGTTCCGCGTCCCGACCAGCGTCCGTGGACTCCGCCTGTAGGCTTTCACTGTGTTTACGAGTCTTTTTTCGAAAAGGATTCGAAGTTGTGGTTTCCTATTCCTCGTTTGGTTACTGCGTATTGTGCGCGTCGGGACGTTCCGATGTCTCAGTTGATGAATGGGGTGATGCGATTTGCCGTTGCTTTGATGGTGATGGCGGCTGAAGTGGATGTTTCGATGAGTGTTCGGATTTTTGAGGAGCTGACTCAAATACAACCGAAGGCGTGCGACTTGTATGCACTGCAGATGCGCGCAGGGTTACATATCTTATCCGGTCATCCTACAAAGACTAAGCATTGGCAGCGTTCTTATTTTTACATAAAATCTGACGAGGCTGCTTTCGAGGAGCCTCCGGGGGATCGATTTCGTACTTCGTGGAACTACCACATTGGTAGTTTTACCGTTCTTTGCTACTGTTGTTGGAATCTATTATTGACATATGTTCTTTTTTCTTTTTGTTTTTGACAGTTCCTCATCCCAGCTCTATCGATTATCCTGAGCGATTTTGGGAGGGCGTTACGAAGGTTGCTGCACTTAACCCGAGTGTGTGGGGTGATTTCGATCGGAGGAGGATTCGTCGGCAGCGCGATCGAATTACACAAGGTACTCTATTCTTCTTGTCTCTTCTTTTTCTATCGTCTTCCTGTCTCCCTCGTTTTTATATTTTGGCCGAGTGCTTCCCTTTGAATTGTCGTGGTGAATGGTCGATCGTTTTGCCCATATATTGCTAGTTTAACTTCGTCTTCTTGTTTTCAGTCGATTGGGCTTCTAATATACCCTGTGAGGATTTCAAAGGCAAGAGACTCCCGCTTCCACTGATGGGAAAAATTCCGCGAGTGTATCCTAACTTCAGTGAGCTTTTGGACTCTCAGCTGGGTGATGAGACTTTCGACCCGGCTGCAGCCCTGGAGATGGAAAACGAGAAGGTTGGAGGTTCACAAAATGAGGGGGACGATCGTCCGGTAGGAGATTCGGCGCTAGATGAGGCAACCGATCGTGGTATCGATGCTATTTCGATGAAGAAAAAGAAGAAGAGCAGGTCGTTTAAGAGAGCAAAGGCCGATTCTTTGGAGGTAGAGGTTTCCGCGGCCGAAGTTACTCATGAGGGTCCTTCTGGCGATGCTTCCGGAGGGGACCGTGGGGTTACGGAGGCAACAGGTTCTGAGAGTTTACCAAAGGGTTCGATTGGTGAGGATCGCGCTGATCCGCCGGCAACGAAGAAGAAGAAGAGGCCGATCGATGATCGCCCTAGCGATTCCGGGAGTAAGCGGTTGAGGGATGACGATGGACGATCTGCCCCTCCTCCTAAGGAGATTGCAGTGCCAGTTTCTCGTAACCTTCCTTGGGGTGGATCGGATCCGCCGAGCGGGAAGCCTCCGTTGGCTCAATCAGAGCGTTGGAGCTTTCATCACAAGGAGGATACAGCTTTTGTCAATGACGAAGGGGCATGCGCTGAGTTATCCCGCCACATCAGAGGCGGATCACGCGAAATGCCGGAAATCGGCGATCTCGCATTCCCGCGGTCGTTTGCTGAGTCGGCCCGCGCGGATGCCATGGTACAATCGTTCGCCCTCCTTTTATGTGTTTTGATCGTCCTCCCTTTATATATACTTTCTATGTGATAACCATTGTTGTTTTTGTTTTACAGGCCTCTGCTCGTAAGAACTACCTTGTCCTTGAGTGTGAGCTTGCCATGCGGAAGATGGCCTTGGATCTTAGGAAGGCCGAGGCGACGATCAAAACGCAAAATGCAGAGTTGGAGAAGGCCCGGAAGAGCGCTTTGGAGAGGGCGAAAGAGATGGCTGTGGAGCGAAGTCGGATTCAGCGCGAGCGTAAGCAAGCTATCGAGAGGGCCGGTGGTCTTGAGGAGGATTTGGAGAACGCTCGAACTAAGATTGCGCAACTGGAACGTGAGAAAATTGAGGAGGCCGAGAAGCATAGGAGATTGGTGGATTTCATGAAGCAGGGTCGCATTCGTGAGGTTACATCCGAGAGAGGCCGTCTCATGACAGCCGTGACTGCGCGTTTTGACAAGTTTCGGAAGTACATGGCCGACCGGGACAAACTTGAGACGAAGCTCTTTTTCCACGCTCAGGCTTTGGGGACTTTGCAGTCATTGGATGTGCTAGAGAAATGGGGGCAGCAAATTCCAAAGAGGATGAGGGATACTTTGACGTTTAACGAGAAGAAGTTCAAGCGCGAGGTTGAGGAGGTCGATGTCGAGGAAATCACGGAGCGAGATCTCTCTTTGTCTCCTCCCCGTTCCGGACCATTTCAGGGTCTTGACCAGTTTGGGACGAACTTGGGGTTGGTTGACTCTGCAGCCGCAGTTTCTCTTCGTTCTCCGACGGTCGTCGTTGAGACTGTCACTGCTGTTCCGGGTGCACACGGTGTCGTTCGTTCGACCGATGCTGATACGGGAGGGGCATCAAGTGACGCTGCTGGAATTGGCGAGGAGGTCTTAATCGGTGAGAAGGGAGGTGCTGCCAAGCGGACTGAGGCTTCTGTCGAGCGATCGGGTGCCGATCCGGTTGAGTCGAGTACTTGACTCGTCTGTTGTTGTCGCTTTGCTTTCATGTTTCGTTTGTGTTTTTGGTCTTTCGGCCCTTTATTTGATGTCTTTTTCTGGATTTGGCTCCGCTTTGTTGCGGTTTGTTGTTGTTGTCTTTATGCTTCATGTTAAACTTCTCGGACTAAGGTTCTATAATGTCTTCGTTCTCTTTGTGTTTTTCTCTTTTGTTCTTGAGAATAGTTCGTTTAGCATATACGACATGACGATCGATTGCTGTTTGATTGGAAATCGATCGGCATGTGCTAAGGAGCCTATCGATCGACCGACTACTGTCGGGGGCTTCGTGTTATTTCCTTTCTAGCTTGAGAGAGATATCGCGATGATTTTCTTCAGCGTCGGATGGACGATCGATCGTCGCTCTTGCTCCGACCACGGTTGGTAGTCATCGGATGGACGATCGATCGGTCCCCAAATTTCTTTATTCTCCCCTATACTAGATGGACGACCGAAAATCAGTCGATTCTTGTTGAAGGTCGATTTTCGATTGCGCGGTAATCGTCTTTCAAGGATGGAGAAGCGCGGTAATCGATTACCACTTGAGTGGGACACTCGTCTTTTGAGGGGGGTACGTGACGATCGATTGCCACATGGTCGGAAATCGATCGGCCAACTTTCGCTGGGCGTTTTGAGTCACTTCCCTCCTAACTCGAGAGAAAGGCACCGCGACGATCTCCTTCAGAATCGGATGGGCGATTGATTGTCATCCTCACTTCAACCACCATTGGTTTTATCATCGGATGGACGATTGATCGACCTCCTTCAGCATCGGAGGGCGATCGATTTTCTGTTAGAGGTCGATTGCACGGTAGTCGCTCGGCCATCTTTAAGTGTATTTACCACTTGAATTGGCACTTGTCCGAGCG